AATGTTTATATTTCCCTTTAAAATAACACATGTTTCAACACAAAAAAATGTTAAACAAACACACGTTTGTGTTTACCGTTATACTTGCCCATGCAGCCGTCGTATACATGTAAAATATAAAAATGCTGTGTACAGTCATGTGTGGAATTGAATACAATATTGATATACGGAACGTGTTAAACCCTTAACATGCTCAATATAATTTAACAAAAGAAATTGTGTATATGAATGTCCAATAACAGTGAAAACATTAATGTGTCCGAGAGCTGGAAATTAAACTATCACCGTCAGTGAGTGAGTGAGTGAGTAATATTGCTAAAAGCCGCATCAGCAGTATTGCAGGTATTCGCGGCTACACTGTCAGTTACAGAAATAATCACAGGCCAGTGAGTTTCTCCATGAGACAGTATTATACACGGCTAGCATATTCATGAAAGCAAAATTCTCACAGACAAATTTGAAATATAAAACTAATTATCATATATTCATCCGCTCCGACCTGACTACAAAACATCCCGCTTTACATTATTTTATAGCTAAAATTGATAAAATTATCATTAAACCGCCCGCATGTTATCATAAATGAGCGGGCCACTGTTAAAGAAATAAACGACGAGTGGGGGTACAATACAACACTGCAGGGAGAATAAACCATGAGGGGCGAGTGTTTTATTGTACAATAAACAACAACCACGAGTCGTATAATGATTATATGAGATATCAACATTATGTACAGCCTCTTTAAGGATGTTGATACAATGTACAAGGTTTAAAAATATTTACCCCTATTTAAGGTGGGTATTTCCCGCATATGCTCACACAATCCTCAGGTCGATTACACGTACCTTTTCTCCCAATACCGATTGTCATATTGTAACCGGGGATTGTGATGGAAAATACAATTTACGGGTGTGAGTGTTTATTGCCCGAGTAGATAATGACATCCTGTAATGTACAAAACAATAACATTATAAAAACATTTCATATAAACATACGTCGTTATTCTGTACATGAACATGAACTTAATAATCAATGATATACAAAATCATTATCTTAACCAAAAATAAACAAACAATTCATCAAGGGCGATAACTCGATCCCGACATCACTTATAAGATACAATATAAACTGGTCCATGTTGTAAAATACACTTAACATTATAAATACACTTACCACTTTCTTGAAACAACTGTATTTATTCAGTAACTTACCATATATTCGGCACGATACACTATTTACAATTCATATTTCGAGACATGACAAACATGTAAATTACCCGTACCCTGTGGGTGACAATGGGGTGTTTATCGTCTCCAGGCAGGCGCCTTAGAGATGGAAGTGTGGCAACTTCTTTGAAGAGCAACTTAATGGACACTCCTCTCTCACAATTGACGCCGTCAAACACACAGCGTGATAATGATGGAAGCGCATATGCCAATCATCAGAAATGAGGTCATGATCGATCCATGTTTAATCCTATTATACATCCCGCTTCGTTATTCATTGATCTTAGCGATTGAATGCGTAGTCATCTGTAGAGTAAGTGAGTGAGTTCGGTTTAACGCCGCTTTTAACAGTATTCTAGTTATATCACGGCGTGTCAGCTTAATGTGTGAGGAAAGCATAGAGTTCTGCAGGTCTCAGACGTTTACCTCTTCGATGAAACCCACGAGCATGGGTATGGTGCTGACAAACCTAGAAACATAATCGGGGCGAACCGGGATTCGAACCCACAATCATAGGTTTCTGGCCTGCCCAAGGGGCGTAGCTATGCACAGCGAAACGGGGCGCCTTTGACGAGTGGGCCACCCTAACGAGTGTTGATATATTTGATGTCAGACCGCCGTCCTTTAGCTTGAATATTGCTGAGTGCGGAGTTAACAACAAACAAACAAACAAATCTTTCTGAAAAATACCATTAGGCATCCATGTTGGTTATTTGACTCTTAGTTTTCAGACAATATTTGTCAAATTCAGTCAGTTCACAGACGAGAAACGGAGCGTGTTCTTGACTTTATTATGTTACAAGTTATATGTGTACAAATCTACATATGTTTCTGTATAATCAAAAGACTTGGAAAATCTGCATTGTGTCATTGTCAAAAGTCACGTGATTTTGAGCAGCCATTTTGAAATAAACTGCATTAATTTGCAAAGCAGATATTTCTATGAACGTTGTGGTTCATCTCGTCGTTTTGATGTCAAAAGACACGAGCGTGAGATTTTATTTATCATCCAACATCATTCTTCCAACTTTTTTAGTTTGTAGACAGTAATAAGCAGTGTCTAAGTGTAAAAAGTACTGCTAACAGATTCAGTGACAGAGCCATTAGTGATGTCATGTGATTGTGACGTCATGGTAAGCAATGACAAAATAATGGTCCGCAAAGCATTGTGATGCAATTTCATTGCAGCCACATCTGCAATGCAGATATCGGTTGTTATTACCCACGTGGTGAAGATACAGGTGGTAAGATACTAAATCCGTACGTCACACGTGTGTCGTACAAGGTTGACCTTGTTTTATTCGTTTTGATTGGATAACCGTGACCTCTGTCACACCGGGACTACTTTTTCATTCATAAACAATCGTGAGATGTCATTCGAAGCAATCTCATGTGAGCGAGGGATATTAACAAACACTTTATTAAACCAAACAAGATAGTCACACGCATCAAATTGTGTTTGCATCCTATATAAGTTATGCATTGAGCTTCCACAGACATTATATAATCGAGCTATATCCATTTACAATGTACGACTACCGTTCAAGAGATCCAGGGTCCCAATGGGCGTGACGCACCCGACTACTTTCGCAACTTTCAATTTGATTCAACGTAAAAGGATAAGCGTGGTGAAATGAAGTCAGTTTAAACTGGACAGATATCTAGACTTACTTGGGATGATCCGGCTGTGCCATCAGTGTCCTCTTCGAAGGGTATTTTGTGGCACTGTTTCGGGAGTTGTTTGTTTACGACTGCACGACCAGATCACTCAAAGTGAACATTTCCGATACAAATCATTCGAAAGCTCCGTAGAAGTGTGCCTGATTTCTGATTATGTGGCCCCAAATATCCCAAAGGTGAACAATAACATTCCCTATCTCTAGCGTAAAACGTTGAGTAGATCACGGTTTTCTTTTCTTATTCCGGTGGTGACCTTGCCCTTCGTTCGAAGCTGTCACTGAATGCAGGCAGACTTAGCGTGTTGATTTTCACGTCTTCAGTAAAGGGTGGTTCAGTAAACATGAATGTCTTTGGCGAACACTCTGATTTCCCTCTTCCAAAATGGTACGGACATGATATAAATTCAAATGATAGATCAAGGAAACCGAACCATCTTGAATGCACAGACCCCGGCAGTGCGAGTGACCGACTGTTGGTCCGATATTCAAAGCGCGGCGCTAATGTGACTTTTCAAATTTTCTTATAGGTGTCCTGCGTCCTAACAACATGGCGCTTAATTCTCATAAGTTGAAGAAATTCTTCCAAAAGGATCTTGAGCGTCGGTGCTGTTATGTTTGCAAACACAACTGCAGGCGCATATTGTTAATGCGTATGCATAGGAATGTAAATAAAGCCCATATTTGGGCATATATCAATATTCATGCGCAACCAGATTTTGCAACCGGTTTCAGTTTGGTCTGTCAACGAACAAAAGTTGTTATGTATTTCCACTTACATACATATTTAACGTGGGTAATAAATAAAATACCACACTCATTCTCGTTAGATACCATTTTTAAGTAACTCGTGAACTTTCTATGTTATCTGACCTCGCTTTCGCTCGGTCAGATACCATAGAAAGTCCCCTCGTTTCGTAAAAATGGTAACTAACGAGAATGAGTGTAGTATTCTCTATATCTCACCCAAGCGATATCTCCTGTGGGAAATGTGAGTTTTGGCTGATAAAACTTGATAATGCCCTCATATTGCTTAACGACGGGCCATTACCACGCCCGTTGTTAGTTGACTTCATATACGTTCAATAGTGACGTCGTCTAGTTTTTTCTATGTCGTTTTCATATTTGTAAACGTGGGTCAGTGACATTCGTTCTTCGTTAATTGCAGTAAATGTTTCAAAACCGATATTTGTAATTTAATTTGATAACAAATGCTATCCGTTTGAGCTGTAATCACGCTAACGCTATTTTTAGGGCATTATCATTTGCAGAAGGCCTCGGTCTTTTCAACTGCTCTCCTTCGTCGGGCAGTTAATGGAAGACCTCGGGATTCTGAAGAAAAATAGTGTTACCCTAATACTATTTCCCCAAGTTCCTGGAACTATATATACTTATACATATCGCTAATGTGCATGTGCCTACTTTCTTTACTTGATGAAATACTCCAAACACATAGTCCTACTGAACACGTATTATGCATGTGAATCGCACCCTTCGAGAGTAATCAATCAAACTAACTATTAATTTATTGCGGCCTTGCCATCTACATGCTGGGCAAGTGTGTGATTGTGGCTTATGGACACAAAAACACGAGAACGCGAGATTGCGACATTTGTCAAGTGTCGCGATCTCGCGTTCTCGTGTTTTTGTGCTAATTGCCTTTACAGTAACTGTTATATGTAACTATTTTCAAAAACACGAGAACGCGAGAACGTGAGCTTGCGACATTGGTCAAGTGTCGCGATCTCGCGTTCTCGTGTTTTTGTGCTAATTGCCTTTACAGTTATATGTAACTATTTTCAAAAACACGAGAACGCGAGAACGCGAGCTTGCGACATTGGTCAAGTGTCGCGATCTCGCGTTCTCGTGTTTTTGTGCTAATTGCCTCCGACTGTATTGGAGTGAAGGGTTGCCATGGCAACAGAAGTCCGCATTGTAACAGTTTCACAAAGGCAAACGGGAAATACAGAAATACATTGATTACTGAACGAAACGTGGTATATTTTTATCAATACATTCCTCTGATGCTGGCTTGTTTGTCTTTTAGTCGCCTCATTCCTAGATTTAGATCCACCATGTCTCGGCCAGTGAGCCAATATAGGAGAGCTGCCAATTCCGTGCTCTTCAAAAGCGGAAGCGCTGGTGTAGAGTCAGTGCGCCCGCATCGATCTGTGTGGAGCGGACACAGGTTTGGATAGACTTTCAACCCCTTTGTGCTGTGGGCGTGAAGTGTCGCCTTCCTCCCGCCATGATGGCGGAATATGTCCAGTCTCTGTTGACATTTTTCATATTGGAGGATACGTGGTTGATGTGAGATATAGGGAG